CTCTCGACTTTTCGGTGTAACTACCACACAAATGATGTAATTAATTGTATTCATCTATATTAAAAATATCAAATAGTAATGAACTCGTGCACTTTTTTGCATTTAAAACTGCTTATCAGGAAGACAATGAATAGAAACTAAAATCTCCATACATTTTCAAACGGCTTCATATCACTCTTATAAATAAGTACGGACGATATCACAAATGGCGCAATTATATCCCGTATGGTTAGTACGATAGCCCGAATAGGTGGTTAAGCACTTTTTATGGTTATTTTGTATGCACTGTATTTGTAAAACAACAAAACATGATTAATTAAGAAAAAAATCGTCAATACAGAAAATACAGATTTTTCAATAGAGTGGATACAGATTTTTTATAAAACCACCTGGCAGCTCTCCAGTTAGAAAGCAGTTATGCGTCAAAAATAGGCGTCACATTCAGTTTGACATTTCGTTGTCATAATTGGTGAGGGACATTCGAATGGGGTATTTAGTGTAAATATACATAACTTTTAAATTATTTTAATTTCACACTGAAATCAAGACTTGAAAGCTTTTTTAGTGAAAGTGTTAAGCCTTTCTAAACTCGCGAGTGACAATAACAAGCTTTGAATTGAATTCACGTGAAATGTTTTTATCGTATATCAAACAATCCATTAAAGTTCCCCTCAGTGTTTTTTAACGTTTGACAAACCGGTCCAGTAACGAGTGGAATTCGTTAACTGCGGCGCCAGAGACGATGTTAAGGCTCTGAACCATTTGGTGGATTATTTTAACTTTTGGTTAAAATTTGACAGGTGGAAAGTTATCGATTAACCCTGCTATCCGAGCGTGGTTACTTCTGACAGACAAGAAGTTAAATTTTGACAACCGTGGCTGAGTTCTTCTCGAAAACCGGTCGATCGACAGCACGGGGATTTTCGAACATAGAAAATAACTTTCGAAATGTCACTTTGTAGATAAATTTAACTCGACAAATGGTTCACAGCCTAAATAAAAGACGCGCGAAGACTGAAGCCAAAAGTTCCAATCGAACCATCAAATGCGGTTCTAATCGAGCAATATAAGCATATAAGGCTCTGAACCATTTGGTGAATTATTTTAACTTTTGGTTAAAATTTGACAGATGGAAAGTTATCGATTAACCCTGCTATCCGAGCGTGGTTACTTCTGACAGACAAGAAGTTAAATTTTGACAACTGTGGCTCGAAAACCGGTCGATCAACAGCACGGGGATTTTCGAACATAGAAAATAACTTTCGAAATGTCACTTTTAACCACGAGTTAAATTTAACTCGGCAAATGGTTCACAGCCTTAAATAATTATAATTAAGTTTGCGTATGAAAAGTGAAATTGAACAGAGAATATTATTGTTATTCACCAGCTGTATTCTCGATATGTTCTCACAAAATATTTGCTCCAGTACAACGAAATACATCTACACAGGCTCTGTAACCAAGATCAAGGCGTTTCCGGTGTAATTTTCAGAAAAAAATAAAAATTGTGAAAGACTTCAAAAGAGAGATTTCACTCATACTTGATAGGAAGCTACAATCGCAGATTGAATAATTTTGTGCAACGCTGTGTAGAATATACCCTCCAATGTGGTATATTTGGTTTCACTCAGAGTTGCCAAAAATTGAGTCTTCAAATACTTCCATTGAATAGCGATACTACCGATACGGCTAAAAAAGTATTAATTTTACCGGGATGCTGAAGCAGACGACAGGCGCTCAAATCAAAAGTCATCGGCTCTGGGCTGCGCTTTTACACACCAAATTTTGAGTTCAAGTTCCAGCAAAATGAATTACTGAAGTGAATCCAGCAAAAGCAAGTTTTGCTGTAAAATCAGTAATCGGTATTATTTTGCTGATTGTTCCAGCTAACAGAATTAAATGTCATAATCAAGATCGGTTCTATCGTTGGCAGCTGCGAGCTATGAGATAATTTTTCAGTCGGTTGGAAAATTAATAAGTGCGCACCATAAATTTATCACTAGACAATCAATAATGCTGCGGAAGTCATGAAGTAAGCGTAAAATTCAAACTTTAAGCTGTTTTCCATACAGTCCATACAGCTGCATCGATTTTCGGTTTAAATTCGCGCAACCGAAATCCAGCACATAATGTGATGTGATACACGAACATATTATCATATAATAAACTGTATACCATATATATATATATGTATACCGTAATATATTCTGATAAAAATGTGATTTCTTTAAAACAAAACAAACGAAAATTACTGTTCTTCCAGCAAAACGATTGCCAATCCATTTTACTGGATAATCGGTACATTTTGCTGGTTTTTCAGTTAAGTGCTGTCAAATTAGCTCTGGATCAATTTGCTGGCCGTTCAGCAAAAACATTTTGCTGGATTTCCAGCTCGGCAAAATCCAGCAAAATGTTGCTGGTTTCCAGCGAATAGCCTAGTTAGCGAACAAGTACTGTACATACATATTCATAATCTGCATTAAAAATGGAACTGAAATACAAAATTTCATCAATTGCCCGAGAATTTCATGGTGCCCTGGAACAATTTTAAATAAGTGCGATTACATGAGCAAAACTCACCATTTTAGTGCACCTCGGTTGGACTTTGTATGGGAAGGAGCTTTGTTTTTCCTTGGTTTGTTTTCCGTCGATCTTGTTTTTCCGTGCTGACCACCAATGTTACCGACGCCAGGGAGGCAGTTCCCACACCTGGACCCTACCTATCGACCCATCAACTCATGAACCGGGGACCAACGGCTTTACTTCCCTTCCGAAGGAAGACGTGATCAGAGATGTTATGCCTCCGAACATCTCGGCGGCACCGACTGGGATTGAACTCAGGCCTGCTGGGGTGAGAGGTAATCACGCTTACCACTACACCATTAGTTTTAAAAATCAAAAAAATTAAATTAATTTAAAAATCGAGAAGAATGTCTACGGGATTGATAAAATATCGTTGTGCTCAGAAAACGAAACTCTTTTTAGTACCTGACGTATAAAAACCGATATTTTTTTCGAAATTGAATAACCCATTTTCGTCTAAACGCATTGAAACACCATTGGATTGGATTTTGGATCTTCGGAGACGAGCCAGCCAACGGCTGAAAGTCTCCTTAATAAAGATATATAAAAAAAAACCATTGGATTTTCTTCGTTATACGGATGAAGGCAGAAAAAATGTACTATTTAGGGCGCTTTCTTGTTTTTGAGAACAATGGGTTTAAATATTCATACTATGCTCTCTTGTGAGCTAACGAATCGGCACAAATGTATTATTGACTTGTGCATGGTGAAATCATTTAAATTAATGATGTTTTCTACTCTTTAGAACGGAAATAGACGATTACGACAAAGTTCTGCCCTATAAGATATTCACGATTATGAAACATGACATGCGTATTACATCGTTGTGCATATTTGGGAATTTCGCCTTAAGCATCGATAGTCGCCAACGTCTGGTTCTTGTTATAATTGAAATTGTAAACAAATAAAACTGATTATCGAATTCACAATCAACTGCCAAACGATCATGCATCATCAAATTCCAAATATTTCGGGTTGCTTTTATCAAGCTTTGCCCCACCACCACCACCACCACCACCACCGTCGATTTGTTTGTTATTTTAAGCTTGTTTACATTCATTAACGTTGAGTGGTTCATAGACAGAAAGATTTGCATTCAACGCACAGCAGCCATGGTGTCAGTGATCAGTGTCGTCAGACGGGCAGTTGAGCCCATGACATTGAACTTGGCTTTCAAATAAAGCTTGACGCTTTACGACACAAGACTCGCTCTACCGTGTTCCTTCCTTGGTAACCTAATAAGCAGGAAGGATTTTTAGACTCACACACACTTGAGTTTTCACGTCACTTGAAACGCGAACTCACGAGGGTGGGTTTATAATGACGCAAGTTTAAGGCCTATTTAACTCTGTTTTACTCCTCTTACAGAAGGGTATAGGATTCGGTTTAAATGCGTTGCGTGTTTGTGGTAAATCGGTTTCTGGGCAACCAGTAGACCAAATTTAACAAACCCGGCGCAAAATTAAAGATACAAAGTGTCCACAGAAAGTCTTCGCTTAATTAAATAAATTCGAATAGTTGAAACATATCGCAAATTCGAATTTCGTTCATCATTTCGTGATAAATTAATAGTAGTTTTTTATACCACAGCGGTGTATCCATCGTTATGATATCACCTCGCCTGCTACCTAAATCATATAACTCATTGCACGGAAGATTTAACCTCACTTTTTTCACAGGTAAAATGGCTTGTTGGTGGTTGAACGTTTGACTGTGGTCGAAGCAAATTTGACACTGATGTTAAATTTTCACTAGTGGATTTACTCTAACTCAACTTCAAAGCTTAACTATTAGTATGCATAATAAAGAATGGGGCATATTTCAGTTCATCACTTGCATCATAAAAAAAAACAACAACAACAGTAGAAAGTACCTACTGGCAAAGTTGTGAATTTATCAACTATTTTGCAGCTTTATTAGCTCGATGAAAAGATTATCCCCTTGGTTGGAAGGATGTTTCGCAAATTCCTTCTATAATTTATTGAAGCTTTACTCGCTGATAACCGTTTCATCGAACTCTGACCTTGATTATTAATTCCAACTGACGAATACTCCAGTACGATTCAATTCAATAAACTCGCCGGCACTTTAAAAACAAAACTAGAGTCAACCGACTGACAAATTGCTTAATTCATGTTATTATTGCGACCTAACAACTACACCTATATAATTTTAATTTAAAATCACTGCAATTGTTTCCATAAAGATCAACGCCCTTCACACGTCGCCACAATTTAGCAGCAGTGGATGCACGCTGTGTGTACCATTGCGTGACCGAGGTGAAATAATACCACAGCATTTCACGGGCACCGTTTCCCTTTCCCCTTTTCCAATGATTTTGGGGTTTCTTTCGGTCATATTAATAATCACAGTCATAAATATTGAGTTGGACTACATCAATATCCATCCATTCACAGATTGGGTCGTCTCATAGCGAACCACCCGTTGCGGACCATCATCGTCAGCTGGTTGGTTGTGGCCGTCTGTGGCCTTGGATTTTTCAAATTCCATCATGAAAAAAGTCCCATGAAACTATGGATCCCGCAGAACGCACAGTTCCTACACGACACCAACTGGGTGATCGAAAACTTCAAGGAAGGAACGCGCATCGAAACGGTCATGCTGACCGCACCGGATGTACTGATACCGGAAGTTTTGCAAAAGGTATGTCTACGCCGCCACGCTTTGAGTGAAGTGATTTTGCCTCACACTATGCTCTCGTTGTTACAGATGTCGGAAATAACAGACGAAATCGAAAACTTTATCATTACCAACAGTAAAGGTGGAACGGTTAACTGGGATAAAGTCTGCTTCAAGTAAGATACACCTTAAACTGCGAAATAAGCCCCGCAATAATCTAAAAACTTTTACGCCTTTTTTCAGGGTTCCACTGATAGCAGAATACACTGTCCAAGAACGACGGAAACGTGACGACTCTCAATCCTTAACTACTACAAAACGTCCCAAGAAGGACAGGCCATTGTTCAGCCCAAGTGTCGATCTACCGAACTTCATGTACTGTCCGCTGGTCGAGCGGCTTCCAGTTGGTTGCTTCGGGCTCAGCATCCTAGAGCTGTGGAAATACGATCGCGAAGTGATTGCCAACCTGACGAAGAAGGACATCGTCGATAAGCTCAACAGCACCAAGATCAGCCCCGTTACCGGACACACGATCGACTTCTCTGAACTGCTCGGAGGGATACAACGGGACTGGACTGGACGGATCGTTTCTGCCACGGGTTTGTACTCTAATTGGATGGTCCACGTCAACTACTCCGAAGTGGACGCGGACGTCAGTGGGAATGCCGCCGGAACGGAGGATTGGGTCACGGAAGACGCAATGCTTTGGGAAGGTAAGTATTTGCAAAAGCTCGGTGAGATTCAGCAAAATTTCACCGGCGGGGATACGGAATTGTTCTACGCTGCTGGACGAAGCTACGGTGATATCAGTGCAGATTCCATGTTCAAGGACATCGACAAGCTGGTATTTGGAGGTGTGATCATGTTCATTTACATGCAGCTGGTGCTATCAAAGTTCAGCTGGACTGAATTCAGGGTGAGTTGTATAGGTCACTCTTATCTTAGATTTTGGTGCTCTAATCAAGCTTTATTTACAGGTAATACTTGGCTCCGTCGGTCTTTTGAGCGTTGCAATGGGCTTCGTTGCTGGGAGTGGCATCGTTTCCTTGCTAGGGGTATCGTATGGGCCCGTTCATACATGTCTGCCGTTTCTGCTGATGGGACTCGGCGTGGACGATATGTTCGTAATGATGGCCTGTTATCGAAAGATCCGGGATACGCATGCGGATCTACCGCTGCCGGAACGAATGGGTCTTATGTTGAAGCATGCCGGTGCATCGATTACGGTGACTTCCCTTACCGACATCGTAGCCTTCGGCGTTGGTTCGATAACTGTGCTACCATCGTTACAGTCCTTCTGTATCTACGCAGCGTTCAGTGTGCTGATGATGTTCTTCTTTGTCATCACATTTTACGTCGCTATATTCACCCTAGACGAACGGCGAATCGCTGCCAACAGGAATTCGTTCATTCCTTGGAAAATTCATGATGAGAAATCTACGCAACTATGGTGCCAGTACAATCTGATGCATCGGTTCATTAAGTTTGTTTATTCGAACATCATCCTGACAAAGCTCGGGAAAACGCTCATCATCCTTGGCGTGATTTGTATGACTGGACTGAACATTCAAAGTTTACTGAAACTTCGCCAGAAGTTCGATCCGAATTGGTTTATCCCGGAGGAAACGTACTACAGTAAATACGTCGTCAAAACTAGAGAGCAGTATCCGAACAATGGCTATGAAGGCATGCTTCTTCTCGGAAACTACAACTACACTGCAGAACTAAAGGAACTGCTCAAGATAACACACGAGCTGGAGAACAGAACAGACATTCTGCACAGTGTAGATTCCTGGGTTGAACCATTCCAGGACTTTGTGCATACGTACTATGATCAAGGTAAACCACATCTGTAAACTTCACCTAACCCTCCTTCCATTCAAACGACTCCCACTCTTACAGACATTGGCGAAGTCGTACTCAGCGATTCGGACTTCCACTTATATCTTTCCAAGTTTCTGTACAGCCACGAAGGCGGTCGTTACCAGATGAACTTCAAGTTTGCAACCAAACTGCATTGCGGACAGCCTGCACCGAACATTACCGTCACTACCATCGCGTTTAAATTCTGCCCATTCAGGGAACGCGAAGAATACATCCCCGCCAAGCATGCCCTCGAAGAGTTACTCGCCCGAAGTAATTTCACCACTGATCATCAGTTTAAAACTATCTGGGCAAAGGTCTTCGCCAATTGGGTCACCGACGAAATTATCGATACGGAAATCTACCGAAACGTTGCCCTAGCCATGATTGGCGTTATGTTCTGCTCGGCCGTCTTGATCGTGAACCCGCAGATTTGCTTCTGGATCTTCATATGCGTCCTGTTAACGTTGGTCAACGTAGGTGGATTCATGCAACGATGGAGTCTCACCCTGGATTTAGTCTCCTGTATTGGTCTTCAACTCGCCGTTGGACTCTGCGTTGACTACGCAGCCCACATCGGTCATACATTCCTGACCATTAGCAACGGAAACCGCAATCAACGGTCGCTGGAAACTGTACTCCACATCGGAGCTGCCGTACTCTACGGAGGTGGATCAACAATCCTCTCGCTCAGCATGCTCTCCGGATCCCAAGCGTACACATACCGAACTTTCTTCAAAATATTCCTTCTAGTTATTCTACTCGGCCTCTTTCATGGCCTCGTTCTTCTACCGGTAATTCTTAGCTTGGTAGGTCCACCTCCCTACAGTGGCTTCGTAGATGAAGCCAACAAGCTTCCCGATGATATTGAGAAAGAAATGCTACCCATCCCGCACGACCAGAAGCGACACAGACCTGTGAACGGTGAACTCGCTCTGAACGAAGAGGAGAAACAACCGATGAGGGCAGCTTCAACGGCATGAAACAGTATCGTGGTAGTTTCGAGAAACTTGAAGCGTTCCATGACTTAACACCGCAAATATAGCTACTAGAAGGGACCGAAATGCACAAAATCAGAAACATTTCATCACAGACACGCAAACCAGTCTTTATTACACGCATACATAAAAGCACGGGCGAACTGCGTTCTGCTTTTCGTAATTTTTTTTTTCGATCTTATTTAGGCCACGTGATGCCATTGTGATTCTAATCTTGTTAAGGTACATAACATTTTTTGGACAAAGTCATTACAAGTATAAGTGATTTTTGGATGGAAAAAATGAAATGAAATTGTAGACTTGTGGCGGGTAAAGTTTATTGATCCGAAATGGTCCTGAAAAGGTTGATTGTAACCCGCAAGTGCCTGAGCACCAGTTCAGAATATCATCCCAACTATATGCGGTATAGTCTTTTTTTTTCCTTGATTTGTTTTCCGTCGATCTTGGTTTCCGTGCTGAGCACCAATGCTACCGACGCCAGGGAGACAGCTCCCACACCTGGACCCTACCTATCGACCCATCAAACTCATGAACCGGGGACCAACGACTTCTCTTCCGAAGGAAGGCGTGATCAGAGATGTTATGTCTCAGAACATCCCAGTGGCGCCGACTGAAAAATATGTAAAGCTACATAAAAGGAATCATCAGGCCTATTCTGCGCGGCGTGTGAGGTGAGGTGACACGCTCTCACTTGTGAAGTGACAATTGTCACCTCGGGTGAGGTGACTCTCCGTGCAAATCAAATGGAGAGTCACCTCACCCGAGGTGACAATTGTCACTTCACCATCACTTCACTGTCACTTCACCTCACACGCCGCGCAGAATAGCCCTGCATGGCTCCAATAAAGCTCCCGCGATTTAGCCCTTTTTAATGAATTAATTGAAAACAAAACATCAGAATCACATTAACGAATTTGATAGTAAGGATGCCAACGGAGCTTTTGCTCCACAAAAATTCGTGTCGCGTTTCAAAATCCGTAGGAGAGGGCAAAAATGTCTCGGCTACGATCTGGAAGATATACACGGTCATTGAGAGAGAACAACAAATGAAGAAGATTGACAACTCTTCCATTTTCTCATACAGACGCTATGAGACAGGTACAATCGCGTCATCTACCGCTAAAAGGTAAATGCTTCGAACGAATGTTATAGCAAAGATAACATCTTCAGAAGAAGGGTTTGTGTATTTGCTCATTTTTCTATGCGTTGCTTCCACCTTCACTCAAGCGCAACGCTACTGTATCTTCTTGATTTGTTGTCTTCGCTTCTACTCAAGAGGTATGGAGACATTTCTAAAAACTGTAGGAACTCAGCGCTGAGCGAGGCGCTGAGTACCTGCAGTTTTTAGAAATTTCTCATACAACTGAGGTTGTACCCAAGACACGACCGTAGATTTGACGTAGGATTACGTGCTCGGTATATTCGGCGACTGTGTTAGGGAAACCACATATTCCCATCATGGAAACGCCTCATTTTCTGATGACAAAATTACGCATTTTCGTACACAAAACGCACCGATTCTTTGGCTTATACCCCGTCTGTCTTGCAATGAGCACTCATACATCTAGTTTTCACTGGAAATCCTATGTATGAGTGCTCATTGCAAGACAGCCTATATTACGTGATATACGCTGTAATGTGACCGGGGTATTATTCAATAGATAATAAAAAAGCGAAAATTGATTGGAGGAATTTCTTGCTAAAATTTTCCATTTCGCGATCAATCAAATAAATTCGAGATATTTTTTGCTTTTTTCTATCGTCCTGTAGAAACCCTTACCTTTTCGAAGTGTTTGTGGTTAATTGACAACGTCATGTGGTATTCGGTCATTGCAAGAATTTTTATGTACACGCTATTTCAAAACTACGCAAATTTGGGTAGAAGCCACCCAGATCGGTCAAAACGGAACCTACCCAAAACTGGGTAAACTATATTCGGAGTGACAAGTTGACAAATGAACAAAGTCGTTTGGATTCATGTTGATGTTGTCCATTTGTCAACTTGTCACTCTCAACAAAGTTTATCCAGTTTTAGGTAGGTTCAATTTTGACCGATCTAGGTGGATTCTACCCAAATTTGGGTAGTTTAGAAATAGCGTATACCACTTCAATACTGATTTGCATTTGACCACAAACGCTTGGCTGCTGGGGACACTATCAAAGAGCTTTGGGGGAGATGTGCACGGTTAGAAAAAAGTACCCAAAATTAAGTTCTTTTCACTCATTTCGGCACTATAGTGCAGGAACCCAAAAGTAGGTAAAGCGGGTCAAAGTAATTTTCATTTCTTTGTGTGCAGTTCGTATGGAATTTTCCACTAGCTTTTTAACCAAAAGTAAGTTAATTGTACCCAAAAGTAGGTAAATATTATTATACCCAACGTTGGGCTCCCATACTTTACTACCCCTGTTGGGTGGTTTTGCTCCTTCTTTTTTGACAACATTAGAAGGAGAAAATGAGACAAACTAGTCAAAAGTAGGTAAAAATGAACTGGCCGTTGGGTACTTTTTTCTTACCGTGTGGCTGGCAGCAAGGCGAGCGAACGTTCAATGAAAATTAACTCCTAAATAACAATAATCTATGGTGGTCCTGAAAAGAACCGTTTTGTCGTGATGGTTGAGCAATGCTGAGCTATTAGCAACAATCAATACGAAACTAACGATTTTAAATTGGCTCACCACTTTAGTAGCCTATTGGTCCCAAGCAAACGATTAACGTACCCTATTCTAGTTGAAATTCTATTACTACACTATGTTTGTTTTGATTCGCTATGAAAGTTTGACAGATAACATCAGGGGTGTGTGGATTCATGCAGAACATGCAGGGGTGAGTGAAATAGCTTGGGACTGCTTGGGACCGTTGTTCTGGTACTGAGTGAGCCAAAAATAATAATGATTTTCTTCGGGACCCAGTGGTCTTAGAGTTACCTCTATGCTATTAGGGCGTTAAACATGGATGAGGCTGGGCGAGCTGTGTGTTGTTTGGAACGAGGGTGACGTGCTTGGTATAGATGGCCCACAACGGCTCACGACGAGCATCTGAATTCGATCAGTAGTGGTACAGCTACTTCCTCCTTCTTCGGTGAATCGGGGGCTCTTGAGGGCAGCCTTGATAGCTAGCTGCTTGCATGGAGCCCTTCGTTGTGTACTGGAGAAAAATGTACAACGCTACGCGTTGAAAACACTGCTGCAGCTACTGATGATAATAAAGACCGGACACTACCACCATAGAGGTAACTCTAAGACCACTGGGTCCCGAAGAAAATCATTATTATTTTTGGCTCATTCAGTACCAGAACAACGGTCCCAAGCAGTCCCAAGCTATTTCACTCACCCCTGCATGTTCTGCATGAATCCACACACCCCTGATGTTATCTGTCAAACTTTCATAGCGAATCAAAACAAACATAGTGTAGTAATAGAATTTCAACTAGAATAGGGTACGTTAATCGTTTGCTTGGGACCAATAGGCTACTAAAGTGGTGAGCCAATTTAAAATCGTTAGTTTCGTATTGATTGTTGCTACCACTCACCACACGCGGTGATTGAATAAGCGCCGTTCGTCGAGACCGGATTGAATTCGATTTTTAAATCTGTGTTCAAGTTAGGAAAAGCGCTTTTTGCTGGCAATCGTGGATAATTTTAATTTTCATAGCAACCTTCTGAAAATTGATAAAGTCTTAATCTTAACAGGTGCGTAGAAATATTTCCTATCGATTGGCGTATTAAGAATTAAAATCCATCATCTCTGGATCAAAATCAGACCGCGAACGACTTTAACTTTTGAAATTTCACCCCCAATGTTAGATTTAAACTTATGGGAACTGACATCCGATTGATGACCTTTACAAATGTCCACTCTTTAACAAATTTATGGTGGTCCTGAAAAGGACCGTTTTGTCTTGATCGTTGAGTAACGCTGAGCTATTAGCGAAGAAACGTGTTCAACTTTTTGGCTCAGCTCTGGTACTATCAACAATCAATACGAAACTATCGATTTTAAATTAGGACAAATAGGCTGGTCAAGTAGTGAGCCAATTTAAAAACCGGTTGGTGGCTGCTGAGCTGTATTTTGTTTGGAACAAGGGTAACTCGCTTGACATAGATGGCCCGCAGCGGCTCACGACGAACAACTGAATCCGATCAGTAGCGGTGCGGCTTCTTCCTCTTTCTACGAGGAATGGATGCTCATGTGGGCTCGCTGCTTGCGAGCAGCCTTTCGTTGGGTACTGGAGACCAATTTTCAACGCCACGCGCCGAAAGCACTGCTGCTGCTGCTGATGACGACCGACTGGACACAACCATACACGGTGATTGAATATGCACCATTCGGCGAGATCGGATGAAATTCGATTTTAAAATCTGTGTTAGGGAAACCGCTTTTTACAAGCAATCGGTGATAATTTGTTTCATCATTGCAACATTTGTTAGACATTTGTGTTATTTTCAATAGTGTCCATTTTAACAGAGTTATAAGTGGTCAAAACCTGACCACTTTTCGTAACGCGGTCGATTTTGGTTTTTTTGAAATTGCACCCCCAATATGTTGCCGAAAGACGTGATCTTACGTCAAAACGAATCGTAACAATGATAAATATTGTCCGTCTTGGCTTCTCCTCTGTGTCACGTATTTTGTCTGATTTCCGCTATGGGACAGAATGTGACGTGTTTCGACACACAGTGGCATGCGAACTGACGGCTATTCAAGATACTGCTGTACATGGTTCGCTTCAAACATTGTAGCTTGTGCAGTTCCGCCATTCGCTAGGAATCACCCAACACGCAGCAGTAGGCACACACTCAACTTACCTCAAAGAAGGTTCACTCGTCAATGATGACTGCGATGGCGGTACGACTGTACAGCAGTGCCTTCGTGTGAGCTAGCTGGTGAGCGCTGAGTGACTGAGCTGTTGTCACTCACGCATTAGGCTGATACATGTTGGGCTATCATTTTATAGGCTGGTGCATACCACACATCTCCCCTCTTCTCTCAGGTAAAAGAACAAGAAAAAAAAAAAGAAAAAGAAAAAAAAATAGCTTGCTTTCCCTAATAAAATTTATATGGTTCGTTTGCTTGTCGTATTCAGGGTATAATCCAAACTTTTTAAGGAATATTTCTACAATTTGAGTAATCGTCCATTTATTGTATTTAGGCTAGCGAACAACAACGAACTTTGAAAACGTTTGAATTTATTATCATCAAAATATTACCAACCTCATATGAAAATCACCAGAGTATAACTTACTATGACTTATCCTGCATCAAACGAACATAGTCAAATAGATACGATGGAGTTTTC